ATATATATAATTAATTTTCTTTGTTTACAAAATCACAATTAGTACATTTAGAGATTTAAGTTATTTATTTATTTATGTATAAGTATAAATAATTGTTATAAGTCAAAATTATTTAAATAGTTTGTTTAAAAAAATATATCATTATTTATTCTAAATAATCCCTTCAATAATTTATCACGATTATACGTATAACACTCACTGAATCTGCGGTCGATATCGCAATCGTCACAGTATCGACGCCATATTCTCGAAGTCTTTTCGAGAGTCGCGAGTTGTTTCTCGCCTTCTTACGTTTGATTATTTGACTTTATGTGAGTTCAACAAATAAAAATTAACGTGATAATCCACAACTATCACAGTTTGATTTCACGAATTTACAAACGCCCAGCTACGTCGGTGGTCGACACGAAACTCGCGCCTCACTGGTATCCAACCAGGAATTTGGGCACAATGCTGCATTTCATGTGCTATAATAGATACTCAACCTCTACTCGCCTACATTACAAAAGAATTAAGAATACAAAGCGCTACGGGATATGATTGTGTTGTACGATTGCAAGTTTATAACTAATGAACCATCGTAAACATTTTGCGTCATGGAAAAGCAATTTTATATTTTTATCGAAATGTTTTTCAAAAAATCTACTATTTATTGCTTAAAAAAATTTTGAGAGAAGTTGTATATATATTTTTAATATAAACATAATTAGTTATGTAATAAAATGAAAGAGAGAAGAGGAATACGAATACATATATGTATATATGTAGATGTAGATGTAGATGTAGATGTATATATATATACATAAAAACACATAATATATATATCATGTATAAAACTTTAAATACACACACACACACACGAGTGTATTTAATTTTTTCAGGATGGTACTCTAAAATTACCAATTACAGGGCCTTAATTCTTAAAAAACTTTTGTATACGAAACTCTACTGTTAATGTCACATATATTATAGACTTTCTTATGCGCAAATTGTTCAAGAATCGAGGATGACGACGTACATCAAAATGTAGAGCCTACATTTCTGATTAAAATGATACTTTATTCGTTAAAAAATATTAATTCGTTCTCGAGATATTCGAGAACGGATATAAACTAGTACTGTTCTGAACCGGTTAAAATAATAAATTTTGGGATAAATCCCAAATATATTACGTTTATAATCAGTTTGGCTATATTAAACTAACATTAAAAAGAAAGATTTATAATTTTCTTAATGTTCTTTGTAAACTTAGGTGTATGCCATTACATATCTTTCAAGGTGTAACATCTGTTTTACAATCTCAGTGGCGATGATGAAATAATGCAATTAATTGATTGCAGTTACAAATAAAGTCGTTGAAAACAATTCAATGAGAACAAGACGTCAACAATTTGCGTATCTGTAAAGCAAATATATAATTCCACAAATATTTCGAAGTTGATTCGGAACGCGGGAAAATAATGACGAGACATTGGCGCCGGTCGACGAGAGCAATGTGTCGCACGAGATCATCGTTGTGTCGCGGCGTGGGGTTTAATTTAAGTCGCAATATTAATTCACTCCCCCATCTCCTCCAACCACCCACTCCGTGTTCCTACTTATAAATTTGGGAAAGCCTGACTCGCACTCGAAATAGTCTAAGAGCTGTCGGCGGAGGATGGACACAGCGATGAAAACGAGTATTGGATTTCAAAATGGATTAAGCTTTAACATAGAAAAAACAATCGATAGTTTAAGGATTTAAATGTTTTTTACGTAGTACACATAATAGAATGATCATCGAGCATGTCACGCAGTTCGAAATATTTATACGTAACAGCGAAGATTTATAACATCGTATGTGTGACGCGATCTGTCGATTATACATAACGCAATGAAAGTTTGGTGACATAAATGATACTATACTAGTTGTCTTTCTGATAAACTTTGACGTTACGTCTATCGATTATAAATGCAACAGTGCAGCAACATTTTACTTTAAAATCATTTTTCAAAATATTGAAATCTCGAATTGAAAATAACGTGTATATCTATATCATTTGATAAATGTGCTAAAAATATAAAGCTGCTATATAAGTATATATATATATATATATATATATATATATATATACATGATACACACATAAATACACACACACACACATATTCTGAATTAGTGACATTTTATTTAAATATCGAATTTATATGTTGTTTGAACAGGCGCTTCGAAGCACCGAAGCAGTCTCCATATGCAAGCGTTTGTATCACTGGTTTTCGCCATCTTATGATTAGTCATCGTATTTCGTTATGCAAAAAAAAATAACTCAAATTCCTAGATATAAGATAAATTAAATATATTTCAACAAAATAAAGACAACAAAAAAATTTGAAAAAAATCAAGTTTTGATATATCATAGATAAAAAGCTATTCGACTATAAATATAATATTAGTCGCCATGCGGAACAACGTCTGACCACACTCGTTTATTTCTATTAACATTAAACGAAAAGACCGATTTGACTTTCCGTCGTTTTGTTCGTACGAAACATACACAAAAAACTTTAAGCGGTCAGGCAATATGTGCATCTTTAGTATAAATAATTATTTACAATAAGTATAAATAATTTGATTAAAAACTTGCTCTTTATAAATAAAAAAAAATCAATAATAAATTTAGAAAAAAAAGTTTTAAATATAACAATTAAAGTCTAAAATAAAAATTAAAGAATAAAAAATGAAAAAATTGAAGATTATATAGGATACAACTAACTGGATATATATAACAACGTCATACGCATTAATAAGAATTTAGTTCGTAGATTTCCACTTGTGGCGGTTGTTACGATGTTTATGCACTTGCGATCGGAGGCACTTCGGACTACTTGATGACGGAAGCACTCACATCCGTTCAGATACATGCATATAGCCGCAGAGAAGTCTATGCACGCGTGAGGTGGGGAGGAATATATTGTCGGTGGAAGAAAGATGCAGTAAGGGTTGTGTGGATATGAGAAAGATGTATGCGTCCGTGTATGTATGTGTTGCAAACGTTACTTGGAGCGGAATACGTGTTGCAACGTGACGGGACCCACGTGGTGGACTGAGAATTTGTGTGATAACAAGCCGGCGGATGTGGTCCCGATGAGCCTTCGCAGTGGACTGTTTCGCTGAAGACTACGCGACAATATCCTGCATACTACGTGTTGCCTCTATAGTTAGATACACCTCGCGCCCCACCCACCCGAATCTTCTCGTCGACGAGAGCACCGGGTATCCGTATCGGCATCGAGATGATTACGAGAGAAGAAACGTGCACGTGCCGCTGTTCACGGACCGTCTCTCACTCATGGGATTCTCCAAAAAGAGTCGAAAAACTCTAATGAGACGAAACACTTATCAATATCGCGTTGCGTTCCTAATTATATGCCGTGAAACTCCGATTTATCGCTGATCACGCTAAGTGCTTGTTTTAAAAATTGTTTATTCCTTTTTAAGTATTTCAGAAAATTTGATTAACTTGGATATTTTAATATAATATAAATAAACTCTATTATGAATTTGTAATATAATGTGTAGTCATCTAACACCTCGCGACTGATAAAATAATATATATTGTATGTTGAATATGTAAATCATCAGTAAATTAGGGTTACGTTTAGAGAAAGATTGTAGTGTTAAACACGTAATAGCGTGTTAATCATTAGCGCATAGATGGATTCATTAGCGTTTTATAGTTTCTAGTGTTATGTAATTACTCTGTATTTCACTGTGACTGACACATTTGTCGAAACGCTCTTTCTGATATAAATGTTTTGAAAAACTCGAGCTTTTCTTAAAGATTATTCTATGTGATTTCACTATACACACATATATTAATGAAAATTTATTTTTACCGTTCACTATATTGTGATCGTGAAACGAGAGATTATAAAATCGCATTCTGTAAAATTTATAAATTTCTTTTTACCTTATGAGAGAACATAAATTGTAATAATTCACGTTGTTTTTCAGTTCCAATTTTATAAATATAAAAAAGAGACATAGGATGATAGTGTGTACACAATCTGTAAAATGCAGAAAACATTACTTACCGTGAAGGTGTAAAATCCATCAGGCACCGGTTGACCGCCAAATTTGATATTCAGAGTATAATCTCCTGCATCAGCGACAGTATAATATATGTTGACCGTGCCATCGCCGTTGTCTTCTATGTCAATGTCAACGACTTCACTGAAATCATAGACCGAAACGTATTATTCATAGATTAAAATATATGAAGGAAATTCATTCAAGAGATGTTAGAGTAAGCTTCAAGACAAGCTTTGCAATTCTATTCAAAATTGTGAATATTTTGATCAGTCACGTTTCTTTTTATCTCTAATTATTTAAACATTTTCTCATCTACATAAGTAATATATAACAGAAATTACATAAATAACAGATAAAATATTGTATATCTTTAGAGGAAGCAAAAAACAAGTAAAATATTCTATACATGTATAAAATCTTTATATATACCATATAAATGTATAATTTTTTTTGAGGTTTTTCTTTGTACACACACACACACACACACTAATCCATGTAAGAAAGAAAAGGAGGATGGTTTACAAAAGAAAGTTAGAAAACTAAAAAAATTATTTATTTCTTTAAGATAAACATAATTTTCTTTATTATTTAAATAACATACGAATAAAAAACAGAAACAATAAGAAACTCTCTGATGACACAAATCTTGATGACCTCAACGGCTCTATTTTTATACTGAATGCTCAATTCTCATATAATACAATCTTAACACATACAAAACGTACGTTTATTATAAAAAAAGAAACACTAAGGTAACTTGACATTTTGTCATCTAGTAAGATAAAAAATATTTGGTTTGTTTTAAAATATTTTTTCAAAAAGAAACAGTCGCACACTGCCAACTCGAACAACGTAGGATATCACAATGAATTATGAGGTAACAGCTGCACACTTTGTCAGAATTCAGAATGCATTTACAGTCGATTCAATTAGATTTGAGATTAACTTTCTCAAGTAATAAACGTGCTAATGCGTGAATGCATAAATAGAAATAGGAACGTAATAACTTTAGAAGAGATTCCGAAATAATAGCGAAAGAGATAATCCTGATTACAAATACATATACGATATTATATTTTCGTATGTTACCACCTTCCTGTTGAAAATCAAACTTAACAAGAAACAAATTCGAACGCGGTTGTTTTTGCTGTTATATTTTTAATCAATCTCGACAGCGAAGAACGTCAAATTAAGGAAACACAAAAAGAGCAGGTTTCACAACATATATATGCTTTATACAAGTTGATTTATTTTTTTAAACTTCTGCCGTTTAGTTGTATAATACATATGCACAGTTTTGTAAATTTTTTCCCATGCTTATAAATTAATATTTTACACAATATATGTATTTGCATTTATCGAAAACCTTGTTATATCTGTATCAATTTAATTTTTAGTAGGTACTTAATAGTAGTTCATGAAGTTAAATTTGCTTCAGATTTGGTTTTTGACTTTGTCGCTAAAAAAAATAAATTGACAAACAAATGGTTGGTACAAATGATAGACTCTGCTGTGGAATTTCAATATAGCTCCGTTAAAAAAAAAAGTACAAATGTTTTACGACCTATGACGTTGGTTTATAGTTGATAACTGGTAATGTATAGTTGATTTGGCATATTTAATTTACTATTACCATAAAATTACTATTAATATTAAATAATAGCATATTAAAAGCAACTACTAAACTACATCGCGTACAATAATATTGTATTATTAATATTATTATTATAAATAAACTTTGTATTTTGAAAAATCCGTGACCTATTGACAGCTATTGCTAGGAAACAACTTGTATAAAGCATATATATGTTATGAAACTTATTCTTTTTGTATTTCCTCGATTTGACGTTCTTCGCTGTCGACGTCGGGATTGATTAAAAATACATTTTGCTTTTGGATTAAATCAACTGGATATTTAATTTCAATGTTGCAGTGTTACAGAATAATCGACAATAGATGCATACAATTGCATATGACTTTGTCAGGGATTCACAAACAAATCACGAACGTGTTTTGTACTCACATACATGACGTTCATGATGGCAACGTGCCAATGCTCATTTCTCCCGGATTTGTTACACAATTTATCGTCGAGTTATTAACATCTTTACATTTTAGAGATACCAATCCGTGTATACACACACACACACACACACAAAGAGAGAAAGAAAGAGAGTTATTGGTTGCTGTTGCTTAAACGTGATGTTGTAAAGCTTAAAATTATTTAATTGGTTGTTTATTACAAACAACTTAATTGCAAATTATCAAGAAATTGCATCGTGAAAACACACTTGAATCATTTGAATAAGAAAGGTACAATAAATATAGATATAAAAATAAGAATAGAAAAACACATAAAACGATTTAAAAAATATGTATATAATTTATATTATACTCTTATTCAATGCAAAAAAAAAATGTGATATAGCCCACACAGACATAACGTCTATTAGAAGACATCGAATAGACGTCCACATAATTTGACGTCTAATGAATATTTGTATAGAATGTTATTCTCTGTGTAGGAGAAAACAAAGTAAAAGAGATTCTCTTTCAAATCAACCTAGAAATTGAAAATAGATCACGACAGCGCGACGCATTTAAAATAAGACGATATTCTTGTTTGAAATCTCTTTTCCTGATTTAAGATTGAAAAACACACGTATGAGGAATGCGATAAAAATATTAAGTGTCCGTACATATAAATTTTTAATATAAAGTCGGCATTTGAAAATATGAAAATCATGAATTGCAAAACATATATGTGTGTATACGCATAATATCATAAAAATTCCCGAATAAAAAAATCCTTAATAAGGACAAATTCTATATCTGGTTATTATGTATATACATTATCGTGTGTATATACAAGGAGATCATTATCTCAATATTATATAAATTATTTATACTCAGATATTAAATTTGTCCATACATGCAGAACTTTTTTTTCCTAAACTATTGATGAAAAAATATGTTTTTACACTGATTGATATCTTGAAAAATAAATTCAAATTGAGACATCATGCAAACTGCTCACCTTCCAGAAGTAGAGCGAATGCGGCAGGTCACTGCACCGCGGCCTGCATTTTCGGTGTCCACAGTAATACAGTACTCTTCGCCCTGGGCCAAAGTGTGCTGAATCCCTTCTTTGATCTTACATTGGTCCGCCTTGCCGGTGGAAACGCTTTGCACATTTACCGGACTATTTGGCACTTCCTTGCCGCCGTATTTTACGTTGACTTTGTAACGACCGCAATCGTCCGGCAGATAAGTAGCTTTATACTTGCCATCGCCGAGATCTTGTATCTCTACCCTACGCGGCACTTGGTCCGGTCCCTAAAACAAGTCAGATATTATATACTTAATTTTCTTCTGCTACTTTACATCAGAATATAAAAAAGGCAAAATATTAAAAATAGGGAACTTGCGAGAACGTTACTCACCACAACTTGGACCTCGAGGTCGCCATATCCCGCGTTGGAGGTGTCCACAACAAAGTCAGTGGGGAAGGAAGCGGTGCAGACAGGCGATACGCCAGGACCAGACAAAGTTACCTTATTAGGTTCGACAGTGGGCAAGACTTTTATCTTGTACGGACTGTCGTTAATGTCCTCACCGTCATAAGTAACGCCGATATGTACGTTGCTTCCGGCAGGTGGTGGTTGATATGTCACCTCGTACAAGCCGTCACCTTTGCTCTTGATCTGCGGCTTTTGCGCCTGACCCCTGTCAGTCGATAATCTAACATCCAGTTGTGCTGCTTTAGCGCACTTGGACGTATCAACTGTAAATTTGGCAGATATATTTTCGCGCACCATCTCCGATTGCAAACCCGGTCCATAGGCAATCACATTTTTCGCTTCCGAGTCTGATATAACTTCGATCTTAAATGGCGAGCCGGGTATATCTTGTTCGGCAAACTTGATGCCTATCTCGTAGTCACCGGGTTCTGTGGGAACATATTCGACGGTACAGGAACCGTCATAATTGTCCTTGGCTTCCGCTTTAACTTCTCCGTCACCCGTAATCGATAAGCCTAAGCCGCCATTGCCGGCCTCTGAAAGAAATTGCAAAATATAACAAATTAAATTAAGCTCGCATTAAAAATACAATATTAATAAAATATTAATAAAATAAAAACCGTGGATATCAACTGTTCTTACAAAATACTAGAAAAATTATTACAAAAAAAAACAAGATACAAAAGTTATTAAACTAACTGTTGATTTGCAAACCTCTAGTTTCCACAGTAAAACGATTTGTCTTGTTCACGATGCCTTTTTCTAATCCCGGACCATATGCCCGACATTTGCTAGGATCAGAGCCGCGTTGAACGTTTACCGAGAATGGCGAACCTGGGATGGGTACATTGTCGTAAAGAATATCAATAGTGTGACAGCCTTCTTCAAAAGGCGTGTAGCTGATACGGTAAGTACCATCGCCCTGAGGGACGATGAGCTTCTCAGTCTTTCCGCCACTGGGATTGTTTATTGTACACGACATTTTTCCATCATCGGTCTTTGACTTGGTGACGTCTCGTGCATCGACCGTGAACGTTGCTTGCTTGTTCACATATAAACCTGAAAACACACAACGTACTAACTAAATGTCTTTTCCCAACAAATACGCACATCGAATAGTGGCTATATTCTATTTCTTTATTTTGAGCAGTATATGTCATTCTGAAGAAACTTGTCCTCTTAAATTGTATAAAATTGAATATTTTGCTTCGAAAATTAATATCTAATAATGATGCACTTCTTTAACATAACTTTTTATATTATAAAACTTTGACAAACATTATTTGTATCATAATATCAAAATTTTTATAAAATATACAATCACATGCGTTTTTACAATCACTTATTCTATATGTTTACTATTGACGATTTCACAACTAAGGTAATTTTACAATGAAATAAAGAAAGAGAAAAATATATTTCTTCTATCAAAAATATAACATAAAACTTTGTTTAATTGTTTGTTAAACTATGTAACAGTACTAAGCGCACACATCGCGAAATAAAATATAATTGCCAGTTTTGAGTGGTTAAAATAACTGTAGTATTAAAAAATTAAAAAGATAAACATTTGAAAATATCATGTACAGTATTGTAACACTAGACAAATTGGAAATAAAATCATAAATGTAAAAAAAATCTTACATATTAATAGATATAATCGCAAACATTAAAACACATTCTTGATTCATATGTAGTTTTTTCTGCGTATTTCGAAATATTCAAGCATTTAAATGCCTTATATGCAAGTTACAACCATTGGTTGAAATAGCTAAAGCATAGGAGGTACAACAACACACATGACTGTGAGGAAAGTGCAATCGGAAACACATGCATCGCTATATATGTATACATCATACTTTAACGTGTCTCAAACAAATTTTCGCAATGGTTTTCTTACTTATGTGCAAGAAAATTTGTCAAATACTAAATGTACGAATGTCTCGACACATGTATGGGTTTTTTGCAACGAATCAAATAAGTCCAACAATCGACAGATTGATAATAATCGTTTGACATTCGTACAAGATTATGAGACACGTCAAGACAAACTCAGATTATACAGGCAATTTTTCAATTCATTTCCAACTGCAAAATAATCTTCGTGCTGATGCCCGTGTATAACGGTACCGTGTGACTGTATGCCGTTGCCGCTGACTTTGATCTTGGAAAGATCCGCATCCGGGACAACAATGGCTTGAAAGGGCGAGCCCGGTACGTGCTGCTCATTGAAGGTGATGTTGATGCCGTAATCGCCGGCCTCGGTGGGCAAGTACGCGACGGAACACGTACCGTCACCGTTATCTCTGCAATTAATGGCAGCCTCGCAAGGACCCTCGACGGTGACGCCAAGGCCACCCTGGCCGGCGCCGCGTGTATCGATCACGAACTCGGCCGGTTTGTTTACCACACCGTGGGAGAGACCGGGACCGGAAGCCCGTACTTTGCCTGGATCGGAGCCATGGACGCAGGTGAGTCGGTAGGGCTGGTTTGAGATCGGCTCGCCACCAAAACTAATGCCCAGCAGATACTCGCCCAGCTCAGTGGGTGTAAAGTTGACCAGGTAACCCTCGTGAGTCGGCACCACGTGCGCTTTGACGCGATTGCCAGACGGTGCGGTGATCGCCACCTGGAAGTCCGCCGCTCTGCCCGCTTCCTGCGTTATCACGCGGAACTGCTGCAGGCTGTTTACCGGAGCCGCTGCGTGTGCGGGTTCTCGTGATGAGCCGTGATGCGTCTTTCGCTTGTGCTTTCGCGTGACGGGACAACAACCCGTAAGACGAACGGACGTCGCGTCGACTTACTGCTTAAATCACGAACGGTAACCAATACCGCAGTGGAAGGACAGTTTTCAATTTTTCATTGCAATTATTTTTAACTTGTGCTCAACACAAGCAAGTCGATAAAACGTCCGTCGCACCAACTTGGAATACCAGTTAATCGCTTACTATTGAATATACAATATAGTGCAATGAGGCTTGTGAGAAGAAGCTCTTTGTGACGTAAGCTCTCACATAATATGCGTGTAAATTATAGACATATAGCAAATAATAACTTCCAAGTTGTATTATATATAAAAAAAAAAATAATATAAACTAACATTATAAATTGGTCATTAAGAGCCAAACGCTGAATGTTCGTACGCGAAACGAATATATAAATATATATACATATTTATATTATTTCAGTGTAAATTATACAACTGAATTTTCAATTGAAAATTCAATTCTTTAATTCGTAGGATCTCGGATTTGCATTATATATATGAAAAATGCTCGTTTTCTCTCCTATTTAATTTCAAAATATTTGAAAAAAACATCTCGGTCAGGAATCGAATCTGGAATCTCTCGCTTTCCGTGCGATAGATTCCTTCCAGGTTCGACTCCTGGCAGAGATGTTTTTTTCGCAATATTTTAAAATTAGATAAGAAGGGAAAACGGGCATTTCTCATATATGTGATGCAAATCCAGCATTCTATATAAATTAAAGGATTGAATTTTTATTTCAAAATTTTCAGTTGTATAATTTATACTGAAATAATATAAATATAAATAAATATATATGTATATATTTATATATTTGTTTTACACGAACATTCAGCGTTTGGTCAGCTCTTAATGATCAATTAAATATTAGTTTAGAATATTTTAAGAGCCTTATTTCTTGGTTAAAAATTAATTTACTAAGATAGACTAAGATAATTTACTAAGAGAAGAAACAGCTTGGATATACAATCAACAAATATGAATACGTACGTAAAATGAATTTAATTTATAATAAATTTTATATTGTTTATCCCGTAGAAAGACAAATTAATTCCATAAGAATAATTCTCATTATCTATATTGAATAGTATTTTACTCCAACAAAAATTTTGCATTTTTCCAGGTGAACTTTATCGAGCACTAAAACGTCATATTTTTAGACAGAACACGAATCTGTGTACGTGTCATTCACGAGGAATTCGCGAACGGTGCTATAAATAAAAGTATCAGGTCATATTCCAGCAAAATATCTATCCACGGAATAATCTTGGCAGCGCGTATTTTAAAAGTTTAAGCTAGGTATAGACACGCGTCCCCCAGAAGGTTCCTGAGACGATCACGAGAAAAATGAAAATTATTTTCTCAATAATTGGCGGAAACAGCGCGTTTTCTACATGATTTATTTTCATGCTAATGTACTGCCAGTGCATTTGTTCAAGTGAGAGATTCTAACTCAATCATAAAACTGACTGTGTATCCATTACTCCTTCTTTAAATGTATTCAAACAGATTATTAAAAATATTTGTTTTGTGCAAAAGATTTAATTTACATTCATTAAATTAGATTCTTTTAGCAGTTGTCTATATATTTTTTATCAATTGTCCACATCATGGTAATGTGTATTATATGTCTCATTGATTATATAAGATTTTTCTCTACTAATGTAAATTCTTTACTCTATCATGAGTGAAAAAGTAAGTTAAAAAGGAATTTGATCCGAGAAAGCCGATCAAGCCGATCAAGTGTGTTTTAAAGTACATCTTATTATAGAAAATAAATGTAAGTTTTACAAAATTTTAATGTTACAAAACTTTATATATAAATTTTATATATAAACTTCATAGTTATATAACTCGATTTTAATTACGACTCAACAGCGTGTCATAATCAAAAGATTAGTGATAAAATAAGGAAGAAGAGATTATACTCACTTGGTTCCAAGCCGTCCACTTTAACTTTAGACACATCCACGTGAGGTTGAACATTGACCTTAATAGGACATTGAGGAACTTTTAAGCCGCCATAAAGGAGATTAACCATATAGTTTCCTGGCTGAGGTGGCATATAGTCAACGGTGTAAGTGCCGTCTTCGTTATCTGTCAGAGAAATTGGGAGTTCTCGGCCTTCGGGATTCAGCAAACTAACGTCTAAGTTACCAGGACCAGCTTCTCGACAATCGACGTTGAAATGTGTAGGAACGTTTGATTTAACGCCTTTCTCAAGACCAGGACCAAAGGCGGAAACCATAGCAGGATTTAAGGGCGCAACTATTTTAACTCTGTACGGAGATTTTTTTGTGGCCACTCCGCCGTAATTTACCTAAAACAAGAGACTCTCTTGATAATATCACAAAAAAAAACAAATTTTATTTATTTCAAACATTTTATACAATATGCGCGCGCGCGTGTGTATGGAAATAAAAAATTGAAAAAATCATTTAACATTCTGATTGTACCATTACAATATGCTGGGAACTAGATATAGGTGTGTAATGCGTTTGAATAGTTCCGTCTCGCTTGTCATCCAGCTTAAACGGAACTTCTCGTCCAAGAGCGTCCTGAATAGTAACTTCTAAAGCCGCCTGACCAGCTTTTCTCGTATCTATCGTGAAATATGTTGGTTTATCTTTGGCAACACCCTCTGACTGAATTCCTGGCCCATGAACTTCAACCTACAAAACATATTTAATTCATTTCCATTTCACCGGCTAGAAATGTTTCAAAAATGTTTAACAAAATACTATTAATAAGTTATTATCAATAAATATAAATAGTGAAAATTCTGTCAGGGCAACGAAAGTAAATTTACCTTTTCGGGATCGAAATCGACCTTTGATGAGATAGTCGCGATATAAGGCGATTTGGGGATGTCCTCGTTATCGCAGAGGATATGGACCGCGTACTGACCCGGTGCGGTGGGTAGATAAGAAACGTCGGCAGTTCCGTCGCCATTGTCATTGCACTCAATCTTTGCTTTGGATGGACCCTCAATAGAGAAACCAAGGGCGCCGGTCTCACCGTTCGTATCCACTGTGAATTTTGCAGGGTGGCCAACGACACCACCGTACAGGCCTGGTCCGAAAGCCCTGATGTTAGATTCCTTGTAAGGACCAACATTAACTTCAAAAGGCGACTTGGGAATTTCCTTGCCGCCATATGTGATCATCACCACGTGACGTCCTTCTTTTACCGGCGTGTAGTGACATTTGTAAGTTGCAGCGTCCGTTTTGGACATTCTGAAATAATATCGTTTTTGTGTCGATTNNANNAANNANNANNNANTNTNATATATATNNNTATATATNTNTNTATATATATATATATATATATATATATATATCTTATACATCATAAATATGTCATTTAGNTTACGTAGGAATATTATGTATGTGGTACATAACAATGTTAGATGTAAGTCGTAAGAATGTCAATTATGAAACATTGCCATATATCCACAAAAATAATCCAGGATATCATTACCATTTTGCAGATATCTATTTTTGAGAATGATCATAATATAACGTTAAAAAATAAAGCTCGTTTACGCGAGCCTCGTATAATGCGATTTATACATATAACGCGGCATTTCTGTGGAACGCAATACCCGCGTTATATGAGGATTATCTGTATATTTCTTCATACGTAATGAACTTACTGCACCGGTCGATTGACGCCTCCTGGACCAATTACGCGAATGTCGGGCACACCTTCACCTGCGTCTTTAGTCAGAACAATGAAGTCGGCGATGTCCTGGACACGGACACCAGTAGGCAGTAATCCTCGTCCGTACGCTCTGCATCTCTTTGCGTCGGAAATCGGTGCGATATTGACGCCAATGGGGCTTCCGGGTATAGGCTTGCCAGCAAAGAAAATATTGACAGAATGCAGACCGGTCGTCGGCGACACGTACTCACATCTCCAAACGTCTGGCGACGTCTGGCGCACTTTCGCAGGCACTGAATGTTTGTTACCCTGCGGTAAAATTAAATTTATAAACCTGCTTTTTTTTATTAGAGATCGAAATCTTGATTATACAACAACAATATCAGCATTAGCTCTTTTTAGTCTTTTATATACTTACATATATTTTTGTAACATTTTTCATATATTGTACAATAAAAAAGAATACATGACGTAAATGAACAATATCATAGCTCTTACTTGCGGATCCAAGATGATAACTTCCGGTACACCGCGGCCTGCATCTTTTGTAAAGATATCAAAGAAGGTAGGTCTATTCACCACAACTCCTTCCGATTGCAAACCTGGCCCGCTTGCGGTAACTTTGCTCGCATCACCAGCATGTCCTTCAACATTAACGATGTATGGGCTTTTTGGTATCTCTCTGCCGGCGAAGAGCACTTTTATTTTGTGCGGACCTTCCATCTTTGGAGTGTACGACACAGAATATGTAAGGTTTCTGTCCTTGTTGAATCTAACATCGACCTTGAAACGGACAGCAAGGATGTATCATCGCAAATACGATATATAAGTAATCGTTCAACTTTCATTATATTATATGTACGGAGATAATATGTAATTATCACGCGTTACATAGCAATTGCATTACACTTGTTCACATCCTGTGACATAATCCCGATTGCGATAAACATATCTCGGCTTCCGACGTTGTGTCCGACAATAGGCGCCGTTAGCAACGTATCCGCTTACTATTACACCGGCACACATAGACTGTTTTAACTTTAGTAAATACAGTGGAACTTCGTTTATACAAACCGATCGGGAGACAAAATAGTTTGGATAATCGAGGCCAACTTCTATTATACGAACCGATAATTCGTATAATAGAGGTTGGAGCCTCAAGTCGTTTGGATAAAAGAGGTTCAAATAAACGAGGTTCTAGTGTACATATAAAATTCAGACAATCTATTTTTAATTTCGATAAAGTTTGAATATTATTTTTCTGATAATTAAAAAAACTTGGAAACTAAAATATAATACTGATAGTCATAGTGGCATTTCCAGGTACTATTTTTTATCTTCATGAGAAAAAATTGTTGTGTTATATACACCGCATTTGTTACGCTGCTCCAGATCTACATTAATGAAGATACACTGAACAATTTTTTCCAAAGTTTATCTCAATATCAATTTTGCTCGATCTTGCAACTCTGCCTCAAACTGCAAACGTTTTTTTAGCACCTTCTATCCGCGAACTAAGGTCGTTTATGTCCCAACTGTATTTTTATCTATGTTAAAGATAGAAAAATTCTAAAAAAATTTACATAGTATCTTTTAAATCTTCAACTTTACAGATCAATCAAAACATTTTAAAAAACACTTATTAATTTTTAAATAATTTTTTAATATAAAAGAAGTAACTCGAGTGAAATGTAATGTTTCGTTTAAAAAATCGCAACTTTGCAAGAAATTGACGAATTGAAAAAAAGTACTTAAATTAAAGATGAAAGTTACAGCTTTCATAAAAAAATTATGCTGTTGCATTTTATTAAATATAAACGCTTATTTTTCAACATGAAAAACGCGTTTTTTACATTTGTGAATACTAGAAATGTGGCCGTTACGTTCTTCTCCTATACAACTTTTTTTAAAGCAAGGTCAGACTCCTCTCCGTTCTCTCGTCTGTAAGTGATAAACGCAAGTAGATTTTGCGCGGACACAAATGATCCTGGTTTGCAGTATGAGGATTAATGATTAAATCAAATTATATTTAACCAATATTAACATCTAAGAGGCAAAAATTCAATTCTTACCGGTAGCTTGTTTCCTTTAGGACCGTCAATAATGACGTCGACGTTACCCTTGCCGGCAGAAAAGGTTTCCACAGTGAAGTTAGCTGGCGCATCTACAATCGGACCGGTTGGTTCTATACCGGGACCGTAAGCGCGTACTCTACATAAGAAAATATAATAAGAAAAGATAACTTGCAAGCTACTAGCCAACAGCCGTTGGAACGTTGTTACATACAATAAGTTAAGAAAAATCCATTTGCCAGACGGTTACAAGCGGTTGCTTTGCGCTACACAGTGACTGCGCGATTCTCTTATCTAAACAAATTTGCAAGCGCGATATATGTTCTACACACTTGCGGCTACATACTATTCATAGTTAATTCACTTTAGTTTCTCGCATATTTATACGCAGACTCAAACAAACACACACACACACACACACACACACACACACACACACACACGCACGTACGCAAAAAATTCATATTTTCGAAAATATCTGTTTATCCGTAAAACTCAGAAAAGTTAAAATAATTATCAGTGCTAACCAGATCAACAAACACTCTTATTTTCTTTTTAAATTTGCATCTAAAACTCTCTTTCTTTTTCGTGAATTTGCCAGTTACGCATGACTAGATTATTTAATCTATAAGGTGTTTTTGATATACCTATACACAAAAGAGTAATTAAAAGTGTATTGTTGCAAATTGGGTTAAGAGGTGAATTTTAAATGAGCAAAACACGATCAAGACGGCGGACATTAATTGCGCAAAATTCGTTATACATATATGTCAAACTAGATGATTATTGCGCGACTTACCGCGGCGGCGGGATGCTGCGAGAAATGAAATAAAGTGATTAATTAAAGTACCATATAAGAAATCTAAACGCGCGCACTTTGTTTCTCGCATTGTCTAAACTAATGTAGATGAAGAACAATTGATAATTATCCGAAAAGAGAAACGACAATTTATCAGGTTGAAATATATTTATTTTTCAATATAGGGGAGAAACAGGATCACGGCGCTAGATCCGATTTGCTTCAAATTGTGCACATTAGTTAAGAAACCATAAACACAATGTCATGCTCAAGTAGCAAAGTGCACCTCTCAAGCATTTGCGAGAAAATCGACTCTACACTTACTATGCATATTTCTATTTAAAAATTATTATTATATATTATTTATCGTTACATTCACACATAGGAACATATTTTTTGTTATTTTAATAGTTGATATAAAGTGAACTATAAATACATGTTTATATCATTACTCTATAAAAAAAATAAGATACTCTATAAAGTTTAGAATGGATTTTGTCGCAAATACTTGAGAGGTGCACTTGAGCATGGAACTGCGTTCGTAGTCTATTATCAACTTGCAAAATTTGAAGCAAATCGGTGACTCTCCCTTTGTGAAAGCGTTTATTTTGAAGAGTCATAAAAACACTACGTGCGATAATGAGCTAGTGTTTAATATTAGTTCTTCTGAAAGATGAAACTTGTCAACAATAACAGTAATGCAATATTACTATCGTTATCTATGCGTCGGTTCGGATACTTATCAATTCTCTTCTTGTATATAATAAATCTCGATACAGAAAAACAATAATGAACTTTATTACATATTCTATATATTTCATAGTCGAGATTATATAGCAAAAAATGCAATAGCACTTAAATAACAAAACAAAAATGACAAAGATATTTTTTGAGCTTGTAAAAGGCTGGAGCCCAGATTACATTCATTACCCAAAAATGCAATCATTGATTTACTTTTATTTAGTTTTCTTAAAGCAATCAGACGAAACGTTTCTTTCGCAATAACGAATCGTAAATCTCAAATATGCTTACCTGTTCGGATTTGTGCGTAAGCGCAGAGGCGCACCTGGTTTTAACTTCGCATTGGGATATTGCGACAGATATGTCATCATTGACATCTCGTCCACGTTCGGGTTTACCATCTCTTCAGGTTTAATGAGCTGCAATAATAGTGATGTAATTTACAAAGCGCTTCTTAAAGAGAGAAAGAGAGAAAGAGAGAGAGACAGACAGAGAGAAAGAGAATTGATTTTTACTTATCTTATGTTACTGAACTCTATAGTTTACTATTAAAAACGTATTAAAATGTGTTAAAAAAAAAGAAAAATTCAACAAACAAGTATTATAAATCAAGCATATAAATAAGTAACAAAGTCATAGTCGGCAAAGTATTTTTTATCGACTATATTAATACTGCAGCGAACCTGAGGAATATTGAGCCAATCATCAGCGAGGCCCATAGCCTCTGATGCGTTTTGAATTGCATCGTTAGGGTTCCAATCTTGCCAGTCCGGACAAAGACCAGGTGCTACAGCATCAACGAGCGCGCCAACAGCACGACCGTCGTTCCAATCAGACGTGAAGTTTGTGATCGGTATATCTGGTACTTTCGACTGGATCCAGTGCATTAGTCTTTGTTTTGGAGTCGCTCCCTTGTCCTCACCGTCATCACCATCCCACATGGGCATTGAAATCGAATAGTGCAGAATTAGGGTCCATATTAGGCCAAGTATCAATTTCAGTTTACAGTCTACGATGTCCGAAGAATCTGAAAGTAATGAAAAAAGAGATTACTGAAAAAAAAGATTAATTTTTTTGTGTCAGTGCAAATTTGAGAATTAATTTCCTTTCTTCTGCAAACAGAGATTTTATTTAAGTTATTTTTCCTGTTAGCTGAAGTTTCATGTGTTATTTTATAATCACCGCTCAATTATCCAAGTAAGAGTAAGTAAACGTTATTTAAAGAAAAAATTTTCCGCTACTTGTTCTGTAGAATCGCGTATTCTTTCATAATATGTCACGAAGACACGCTAGCTAACGAAAGATATTTGCGCAACAAAAGTGCTAATAGATATCCTCGACGTAGTGAATCATATGTTGAGCGATTGCCAAATGATCGTAAATACCCGCAAAATGCACACACATTTACCTATATCAAAGCTTTATATTTTGCTCGGATATATTGTAAACTTTTTGTTATAGTAAAAAGTTGTAACCTGTGTATAAATGAAATTCGTAGATTCTGCGGGTATTTACGATCATTTGGTAATCGTTCAACATATGATTCACTACGTCGAGGATATCTATTAGCGCGCGCGCGCACACATACACACGTGTGTGTGTAAAAGTCAATTTGTATAACTGTAAAATACACTGCTTTAACATAGAAAAAGTTTTTTCATTAATCTTGAGTACATTTCTAGTATAAAAGACTGTGATATGTGTAAATCTACAGTGATATAAACTACGCAAAAGAAAAGTATTATGCAATAATAAGTTTTTGTTTTTCAATATCTGCATAAGATATATAGTAGACTTTTTTAAAAGAATTTATCGATTATGACAAAAAATATGTTGGCTGTTAATTATAAGATTAATATAAATTTAAAAATAATTATAAACATTCTCTTTCTTCTCTCTTTCTCTCTCCCTCTCTCTCTCTCTCTCTCTCTCTCTTTAAGTGTGTGTGTGTGTGTGTACATGTGCAAGTTTTATACATATCGATATAATCTAACATAATTTAGGAAAGAATATTTTCTATGCAAGAAGAGCAGAAGTTTCTTAAAACTGTAATAGTTAGAAGAAAGATCTCTTCAAAGCCATTTCTTTTTTAATTCACATATAAAGTTTGTAAAGATCGTGATTGTCGTAAATTTTCTCAAGAATAATACTGAAGAGATGCACTCATGCGAATTTAGTTGAATCTGAATCGCCTCAGCTATTTTTGAATGGCATTCGACATTGTCCGTCGTCGATGAGGTGCATTTATTCGTATGTGACGAATCGTCACCGGTAGTAGTGACGATTCATCTCAACTATTTTCAGCAATTACCGAGAGCTAACCAAGTGATGTCAGCAAAAACGTTAATGCCGTGTCACGCGAATCAGCTAAGCGCCAGCTAATTTACCCCATAATCCCGCACGTCTATGAGATTCTCTATCATTCGTATTATTTTTCAAATCTCTTTTTATTAAGTCTGTTTAACTCTCTTTTTGAGGAAAAAAACAATAAATACATAGAGAAAGAGAGAGAGAGATAAATAAATTATCATATTTTAAATTTTAGCTATTGAAAAGTAACATATATATTAAATTATTCATATATTTTATTAATATAATTCTCTTTTTTTATATATATCTTAATAATTTGCATCACAATGCAATTACATACTTTCATATTTTGTAACGTTATCCGCACGACGCATATAATACCCGTAAAAAACAAGTTATAGAAGAATATAAGAGATGCTACTCTTTTGTTTGAACATACTCGAAATAGATACTCATTGTTGAGTCTTCTCTTCAAGACGCAATTCACTTAACCACGAGAAAGAGATGTAGCAAGTGGAAGAACAAGCTATAGAGAGTCTCAATGTACAGAGCAACCAATATGATGCTACATACAAAATGAGTAAGTAATTTAATAAGAAAAGTGCATTATATAAATTTTAAGTGAAAGTATTTGATTTACATAATTAAAAATTGCAAACTTCTGTTATTTACAATTTTGTAAGTCTTAATTAGATGTGTGTGTGCATGTTTTGTCATAACCGTCTGATACTGTCTGGAATGAAAAAATTGCATTAGTGGTGTTAAAATTGCATGCTAGATTTAAAATCGTCGACAGAAAATTGGCATTTGACCTCAACGATTTAACGCAAGTGTTGATGATATCCATGTGTGCAAATAAAGGCAACTGCTGAATCTTTACTAAGAAAAAACGCAGCTGTAAATCGAATTTTAGTTGGATGACATAACCAGACAGATATTTATTTTCTTTTTAACGTAAGAGAAAATAAGGCCGAAGCGATTATACAATACTTTTATACACAGTCATATAAGTTTAGTTTGCAAACTTCTCTTCGTCTACATTCATATTTTATTCCGTATTCATATGTTTCAAGGTTAAGATTGTCACAGTTAAATAAGGAATTATTTTCCATCTGTACAACTTTTTATAATTTTCTTTGTACAAGCATTGATCAATCATGAAGCATGTGACCAGTTTAACTAAGATTTCAAATTTTACAATTTGCGGAACAGCAATAAAAATTTATTTTACTGCCTAGTTAAAATTTGTTTTAACTAGGTTGTTGAATCGTAAGCTTCAACAATAAATTTGCAGAGAGGTAACCGCAATATCACACTCTGTCATGTGTGTGTGTGCGTATCATTGCAAAGCTGACTTTAGAATCTTCCTTTTGAAAAGTCGAAGATTACGTTTTACTGAATGATTTTACTGTAATAAATATGTGCAATGTTACAAACAATTTGATAAACATAATGGTTTCAAGACTCTTCATTCTACGTATAGAATTAAATGTGCTTACTCGGATGAGTACATACACACTTGTTCGTGCGTGACGTTTTCTCAACACTTACTCGACACGTATCGCGACGAGTTTAGACGATGACGTCATTGACCAACGGGAGATTACCTCATTGGCGCAGAGACTATCAGGTTGGATCACCTTCAAGGTGATCTTTTTCTTTCCAATTATTTAGATATAAACCACGTGTTTCATCTTCGAGCTTTTGAATAAATACTTTTCATAAGTACTTTTTCAATATAAAACCATTTTTATGCGTGTATGGAAGTATTATTTATTTATATTAATTATGTTATATACACATTATAATCAATTATATTACATATTTATAAATTTGGGTTATGTTATGCTTCTGATATTTTTGAAATGCAACAATTGTTTAACAAAAATATACAGTTGTGTGTATTATAATTATATTATATCAAGTGTATCAAGATACATCTGATGTCAAAATATATTTTGATGTTTGATATCAAGATATTTCTGACATGTGAAGTATTTTTTGCAAGTATGTAAAAATGTGTTAGATAAATATATATAGATATATGTTTCGGCAATTGTTGGAAATCGGATTAACGAATTTCTAGTTTACGTGAGCATTAGTTCTATCGTTAACATTTAGCATTAGCTTTAGGGTGAATGAGTCGAGTATGAGTCGTGATGTTGATTTAAACGTGACGACGGCAGACCGCAAAGTGGTAATGTCAAGGTTGAGACCGAAACGTTAATTGCTTTCAATATACACGCCACAAAATGCACACAGAAACATTGTAATACAAATATAAATTAGTACTAATTATACAAATAATATTGTTTCTTTTGTCAAAGTATGTCACATTCAAAATGCACGTTTTTTAACACCTTTGTCATGAAGAATATAGTTTTGACATGTGAAGATTATTCCGTGACTCTTTTTGTAATATAGCATAAAATTAATAAAATAAAACAAACACCTTATAATTTAACACTGCCCATTATTTTATATAAATTTGCAACTTCTTTACATTTCAAATATTTATAATTTTACTTGGCATAATTGTGAAACTTTTAGAATTATTTCGTTGAATATTTTACACATCGATTTTGTTAAAAATAAACAAAAATAAAACTCAATATACAAGTTGTCTAAAGAAGTACACTCTTAGCACAAGACGCATATTTATACGTAGTTCTCTGTGAAAGTTTTACAAGATTCTTTTAGCGCGATTCTACACGCAAGATTAATTTTTTACATAAAAAGTCGATATTTATATGAAATCATATATTATCATATATTATCATTAATGCTCTCTCCAAAGGTAACTCGTGAAATAGGAAACAAAATTGTAGAAACGTCATTTTGGAGACAAATATTTCAGCGAAGACAAAGGAGGGAGAAAAAAGACAAGAATCGGTCACGTAATAAATGCGAGAAAGACGTCCGTGGTAGTACTAAAGCGAGTCTGACCTTCACCCGATTTACATGGACCGTCTACTTTCCCTCTTTTTGCTTTTTGATGGGCCTCGCGGGACACGTCCTTAGAAACCGAGTATCCCTCACGTAATAACGCCAGCGTGGCTTCTGTTGATATCCGATAACCAAGCGGCTCTAATATGGCAATCTTGCAATTACGTCTTTGAGATTGCACGTCGGCGCATCAGATGCATTAGTCCTCTAATTTGCAATACGAGTTTTTTGCAAAATTCTCCGAGCAAAAGTTTTCAAACAAAAACTTTTGGCCTAAATATATCCAAGTTGTTTTAAATAATTATAGATTTCTTTTTCTTTCTTTGTCCTTCTATTTTTATATTAGCGTAAGTGATTACATTTATTGCTATTTAGTATCATAGGCAAAACTAAAACAATTTTACATCTTTAGCTATGTTTTAGTTTTGCTTATAATACTTACTTTACAATAATAAATTAAGTATCAGAAGTGATAAATAAAGTGAAAATGTATAACATTTTTTAATAAATATTTCTCAAGACGTTACTGCACAGTTGTGCTCATCAGTATGTTTTACTTTTGCGATATGTGACAGTTGCAAGTTAGAGAATATAGTGACATCATCGATGATATATTCAATTGCGTCATTACCAGTCGAGTATATGTATATCTCGCTCAAGGATGCAACAAATTGTAATATCCTCCGTCGAGTAAATAATTAGCATTATTTCTGTGTGTGCAAATATAAGCTCTAAAAATATTTGTTGTTTTATGAGTAGCGATTTATTTATCTCACAAGTCATTATTTTATTCATAAAATAAAGTTGTCATATAACGGAATATTAACCCTCAAACTGCAAACGTTTTTTTTGGCACTTTCTATCCGTAAACCAGGATCGTTCTACCCTACTGTATTTTTTTCTATGTTAAAGTTATCGAAAAATTTTGAAAAAATTTACGTAGTATCTTTAAATCTTATGTTACTTTACAGATCAATCAAAACATTTTGGAAAAAATGTATTAGTTTAAATAATTTTTTAATATAAAAGAAGTAACTCGAGTGAAATATAGTGTTTCGTTTAAAAAATCGTAACTTTGCAAGAAATTGACCGAATTGAAAAGAGTAATTAAATTAAAGATGAAGATTACAGCTGTCAGAAAAAAATTATGCTATTACATTTTATTAAATTTAAACGCTTAATTTTTTAACATAAAAAACCCAGTTTTTACAGTTATGAATGCTGGCGTTTTTGTAGTAAAAACTAAGTCTTTTTTATTTTAAACATTTTTATTTAACTTATTCTTTCGGTCGAAGCATCCGAGTTAGCTCGTCGGAAGAGCGCTGTTCTTGAAATTATTATAAAAAGCAAATTTTTTAATGAAAAATGTCATGACTACACTTTAAATTGAACAAAATTATGTAAGAATCAGATAAAAAACAAAAACAATTTTTATTTATTTGTACAAAAAGTATACGTAGTTCACAAACCAAGGTCGTTTGTGTCCGCTCGAAATTTCGTCTTGTCACTGTGGCTGTATCGAAGTTGTATCGGAGATCTGAAATTTGGCCGTCACGTTCCCCTCATATATAACTTTTTTTTATATAAGACGAGGTCCTCTCTCTTCCCTCATCTATAAGTTAAATAAACGCAAGTAGATTTTGCGCGGACACGAATGACCCTTTGTTTGCGGAGTAATAAACAACATTGGCTTCCTGCATGTAATCTTACTAACAAGTAATATTTATCATGTTTAAAATATTACTAACAAGTAATATTTTAAACATGATAAATTATACGTAATATGATTAATGACAAATGTAATATATAATTTTATTAAAAGATCTTTGTAAATGTCCTATCAATTTTCGAAACTTAATATAATTTTCTTCCTCGTTTAATATTGTAAATGTGTGTGCGTAAAAGAAAGAGAGACCAAGAGAGAGAGAGAGAGAGAGAGAGAGAGAGAGAGAGAGAGAGAACAAATATATATTTAACTAAAATGAAATATTATTCTGATCTTGACATGTTGCATGTGTTTAGTATCTTTTTTATTAAATGCTCTTCTATTTCTTTTTATTTTTACTGATGTAATAACAGTTTGTTCACCTGCAAAGAGCACGTGAACGGTATTTTCCCATCACTACCTTTAGTTTCCCGGGTATTTGGGCGAGCGTCATCGATCCACAACCTTGCTCTACGAGTGTTTTCATTTCGTCAGTGCATCCGTGCTCTAAAACGACTCTGATCCGCGAAGTCTTTCTTATCTTTTAAGTTCTGTGTCTATGATGATAAACAATATTTTGCAACAAATACAAGTTTATTATTCATAATCGTCAAGTTTTTTTAAATTTTTATACAGAAATGAAATATCTAGGTATATTCACCTAACGCAAGAAAACTAAAAAATATATTTTTTAAATTTTTTTAATGAAATCTCACTCCACAAACAAGTAGATATTTACTCAAAATAATAGTTAAAATATTGCTACTCGTGATTAGTGAAAACTAATTTCATTTTTCATAAAAGTGACTGACGTAAAGTAAATGTGTCGTTCGCCTCGAGTAAATAATTATTATTGTAAAAACAAATATATTTATTTTTATAACTTATAGTTTGGAGTAGTTTGGGTATTTCAGATTAGTCTAATACTAACTCGTAGAAAAAAACCGTAGTGAGAAATTACTTTGAATTGATTCGAACCTAGAACTTTTGCCTGCTACGCCGATGTTCTGATTTTGCTACTAAGATTCTTCATGATGGTAAGACCACCAATAGCATATATTCATTCTTTACGCGAATGAAAATATTCACTCTACGGTACACAAGGTACACATATTTATTCCACACAATGTGTATTTATTTTAGAAACAAAAAGTGAAAGAATTCACTCTATATGATTGAAAAATCATTCTAACTCGAATAAATCGAATGAATGAATAAATAAATCGTTCATTCAATTTTGTGAGTGCTTTTTCATTTTAAGAAATGTAGAAGGTAAGGTTTTAAAGATTTTATTCATTCTTTACATATTATTAATAATTATGTCTTCATTTTGCCAATAAATGTTTATCGAATCTTAATTTGCAATTGTTGCAATATGTGTATCACAAATTCTTTTTTGACACATTATCAGTCAAATCCTCATTGATCTTTACGTAAGCGGAACGCGCGATTAATTATTTGCTGACATCTGTTCTCACATTTTGTCAACTAATCTTCACTTCATCATTTTTGGTTACATTTTTCACACAGCATGCAAATAAACGTGCATTGCGATTATTATACTAATTTGAATTTCGATAAGTGAAATCGTAAATTTATACAAATTCTGTTATTTTATGAAATAACATTCTGTTTTTAAGAAACAAGCGTCGTAATGAGTTTACAAAAGAATAATAAAATCGTCACTCCCTACGTATAATCCCGTAACTCCAAAACGCAAATTTTAGAGGAGAGCAGTTTAAAAGTATAAAGCTTCATATGTTTCCCTATAGTTAGGGATCTTTCGGTTTCAAATTTGTACCTTATTTATGAATATTTTTTTTAAATATTTGGTAACCATAAAGAACATGACTTTCTAAGTGTCATTATGCAATAAACTGAAAATCCCATATGTGACACACTTATGTAATTATACGTAGGGAGTGACGAAATATTCTCTCGTAATTTTTAAAATTAGATAAATTATTTCATCTAGTTAACAACACATATAGAGTTTGTGAGATCTAATCAAGATTATACATAATACACTCTATATAAATTTTAGTTTGTCTCATTGTCAATAGTTTTTAAACATGACATTTTTTTCTTTTCTTTATGTTTATTTATAAGTATATTAAGAAAGTATAGTGATCAATGATATATGAATATAATACATATAATACAAATAATTATATTACATTGTTTTACTTCAAGGTTCAAATAAAACAAAAATTATTTTTAATTGTACAAAATTGCGTAACTATTTATCGATTTACAAATTTATACGTACGTATGTGTGTATATATAAAATCTAAGAAAATTTGTAAATTTTAGTTCAAATCTAGTTTATAGTCTTATTACAAAATCTATATACGGCGCAGACTCGTGTTTCGCAGCAATTGTATTACCACGTGGTGTAACGTATCGAAAAAAGTAAAAAGATCAAGGAAAAACGAAAAAGAAAATAATAAAATAATAAAATTGTACATATTGGAAAGTAATCGTTTGAGTAACATAAACAGTTGTTTATCAAATATTATAAAATTAAAAGAGATATATCTCTGATACTAATACAATTTATGTATACAAATAGTCACATTTTTGTACAAAATACTACAATTGTCTAAAAATATTTAAACATTGTAGATAATAGTAATAAATTTTATTTCTAGCTTATTACAATTTTGTGTAACTTTCTATTTGAAAGATATAATAAGTTGAATATTTGCATTGAAGTTCTAGACAGATAACGTAAATATAAGAAACAACAATTTTCGGAAGTCTTTTTTAGTCTAAATAATATACTTTTATGTAAAATTAAGTATTGAGATCGATATGAGCCGGAGATATACTACCATGATCAAAAAATAACCGGAATTTTTAATTTAAACCTCGCGGGCTTATCGGTTTAGAATTCTGTTGTTTGTGTCACGTTGGCAGCACTGTTACGGACACCCATGCCAAGCTTCTGCTTATCAGCTGTTCATTTACCTT